GACAATCTGATGTGAGTCATAATGTAATCTTTTATTAAAGAATGCACATATTGTACACAAGTCTCAGTGTTGGTCCAACTCGAAGCTTAACACCACAATAGTAGGATTATACAAACAGGCGTTCGCTGATAACAGTTACAGCTATCATCCGTGTTGATAAGGAGAGGACTCACACTTCTAATTATGTCGTTGACCCACAAATGTGATCTTGCATGGTGAGGAAATGACATAATGTATATTCTAAATTGCGGCCTCTGTGATTTACTGCGTTGAAATCATCATTGAATTCCATCTATTTAATCCGTTCGATCATATTTACAGCTGCGATCAGATCACCTGAGTTGCATTTTAATGTGAGTTGTTTTGTTCTGGTTTTAGCATTAAGGTTGGAACCAGGATTAGCTTTTAGTTAGATAAGAGTGAAGGTTAGGAATGCAGCGGAGAGGATTAAGGTTAGGATGTGGAATGAAAGAATGAATGCAGTCGGTAAAAGTCCTCAAACATGTTGCAAAGTGGCTTTCACGAGAACTGCAGCCCTGCACTCTAAAATCCATTATTAATGGCCTACGCTGCTCATGGACCAGTGTTCATGGTTTGGAGAGAAAGAGCCTGATCCACTGCTGCACCCATCTCAGTGCCCTTGTGCCCAAAGTTAATCCCACTCCAGCTTACTCATGAACAAAAACCCTGAAGTCAATGTGCCCAGAAGAAATGGCAAAAGGAAAAAGCAAGAGAAAATGGAAAATTTGACTTTTAGTGTGTGGATGTTGGTAGAAAAACTCTCAGATTGCAATACGTCGTGTCAGGTGTTTGTATGAAATACAAGATCTGTGACCGGTCGGCGTCATGCTGTGAATGTTGCAATGAAGGCTTTATAGAAGTCATGTTCTTTTGTGGGTTTGGTAAATAGACAGTAGGAAAAATAACTGCACTGTCATCAGCGTTTAAGCAAACCTCCTCTCAGAAGTTGACATTTTGGAGAAATGATGAGTGTCTCTGTGTTTTTATTTTCTTTTTACACCACATCTCCATTCTTCCTTCCCTCAGCACTTTTTGTCTTATCACACGCTATATTTAATATGTTGCTGTTATTCAGCATGCACGCCGTGATTCATCCGCCACCAGTGAGGTCATGTGGCAGTCATGTGACCCCGGCAAACGCTCAGCCGGCAGATAAAATGAGAAAAAAAAAAGGGGAAGGGGGCAAAAGAAAAAAAAAAAATCGCTCCAGTCACAGGGAACTCTAAACCACAGACGCACGGATAGGCGCACATGCACACACTCGTGCAGATGCACCGACAAAGGCTGGCGCATGCTGAGAGCTCATTCTGCAAGTGGCCTATAAAATATGAATGATATCGTGCTATATTTTTATCAGCCAGGCCCGAGGACATGTATGAACTGGAGCAGCAAAAACTCTCTGTTTCTCCAGCCACAGCACCGCGTTCAGGAGAAGCTCGAGCATCGTGTGACTTGGACTGTTTGTGGTTTCCCGTGTGCCTCTATACATATACAGCATGCACTTGTTTACTTGTGCGCATCATTTTTTTTTTTTTCTTTTTTCTGAATGTTGTGTATAAACAGAAAGAGAGTGCATCCTTAGATGTGTCTGGGGAGTTGCTGTCAGAACTTTGTATGCAGCTCTGAAAGTTAATTCACACAGCTGCCAAACCCCCACACACACACTTGGAGAAAGAAAAAAGGAAGCAAAGGGGAGAAAAAGTCTACCTGCCTCAGCTGAAGACCTGATAGCACAGCAAACGCCGCCGTCTGCGACTAGCAGCCTCGCTCCGACTTTTTCTCTTTTGCACGTTTAGTTAGACGCACATTCATCATTTTGTACCCACTCATGCTCGTTAGAACATTTGAACACTAGCCCTCGTGTAGGAGTGTGCTTTTGGCACAGTGTTGTCAAGTATGTGTGTGTGTGTGTGTGTGTGTGGTTTTGAGAGTGCGAGAGAGCGAGACAGCGGGAGGATGTACTTGAGACAGAGAGTGAGAGAATGAGTTGTGCATGTACGTGAGGGAAAGTGCATGTGTGTCTGCAGAAACACAAAGGAGAAAGAAGGGTGCAAAATGAAAAAAATAAAAAATAAAAAAATAAAACAACAGGAAAAGGAAGGAGGGAGGAAGAAAAAAACAAAAACACAAGGCCCCGTCTTCAGAAACAGCTGACAGGTTGACAGGTCTGCTGAGACCAACAGAAACAAACATATAGAGACAGAGCGAGAAAGACAAAGAGACGGAGAGATGGGGGAAAACTGGGGAAAGAAAGATGCAATACTGAGAAAAGAGAAAAGTGAACGCCTCGCAAAGATGTACACTCATGCAAATGTCTCGTATTCTTTTTTAATTTGGCCGTCGTTCTGTGTCACTTCCTTCCTTTGCGTGCTGTAACAGTACAAACAGATCCGCGTGTTATGCCAGCAAAGTTAACAGCAAGTTCAACTGAGAAGTCCCAGACGCTGTGAAGTGCAGAAAGTGAGAAAGAGAAAGTGACTGATGACAAAAAGCAGGCAGACAGTGAATGAGAGACGCAGGAGGTGGAAGTGATGAGGTTAGAAAAAGAGAGACGGAGGGCGGGGGGATGAAAACAGAGAGCATGTTTGGCTTTTCAGAACGGAAATAAGAAAAAGATGCTTTATTGAGAGGGGAATTGTCTGAGAAAAGTGAATATCGTGTAATATCGTCTGTTCTCCAGCTTGTGTGTGAGTCACGCTGTGGATCTACACAATAGTGGCGTTTATTTTGGTGAATCAGCAGCGAAATAAAGCCTCCAGCTTTGAACCCGGCAGAAGATCTCGTTTCTAAACATCTGCTGTGGCTCTTCCTTATGATAGTGTAGAGTCATTTTAACAAAAGAAATAATGAAAAAAAAAGGATGAACAGTGACAGAAATTTCTTTGGATGCTGGTGTATTTTTAGATCAGCCAGCAGGATCGACTGTAAGACGCTTCAATCTACTTTCCAAACAGTTTGTAGTGAGAACTGCAAGAGTTAAGAGCTGCTGCTGCTGCACAAAACCACATGTTGGTACGACTATAGACACTGCGTACGTGACTTAATGAGGCCCCATCGGTGGCTTTGACATATTTATCATTGACTTCTGACAGATGACACAAAATAAATGATCGCATCAAACATGTTAATATCAAGGTCACAGAATAAGAAGAGAAATAACAGAGGCTTAAAAGGGCCTCAGTGTTTTTTGGGACTCATTCACTGTTGGAATGAGAGGAGCGCTGAAAAGAAAAGACTCGTCCTGGACACTGTGGGGATTGAAAGAGAGACAGAAAGTGCAGATAAAAGAGTGAGAGCGACATGGATGGACTCGGGCTGGTTGGAAAACAGAAGCTGGTGGAGCAGAGAGAGTGTCGAGGGAAGGAGAGGGTGAATACCAGCTATTGTTGGAATGCCGTAGCAACATGCGGCAGAGAGGAAGGGGGAGGTGTGTGTGTGTGTGTGTGTGTGTGTGTGTGTGTGTGC